CATTCATCTCCTTAATCACTCCTCCTAGCAGAGGGACAGGAGCTGTAGCAAACAGTACCACAGGGAGGCAACAAACAAAATTAAGATTACCCCGAGGTCTCTCTGAGACATATCCACAGTTGTTTAAACCAAAATTCAGTTCAGGTGCTGTATGTTTAGACAGCCTATGCTGCAAACTCCATTTTGGTTTCTGGAGCTGAGGAGGGATCTCACTATCTTGTCTGCTATCACCATCAATGAAGGCTCTCAGGCCAAAACACGCCTTACAAGAAACCTTGAAACCTCAGACTGGGGTAGAAAAAGGAAATTAATTCGATTTTTCCCATTAAGCTGTCTCCCTGGTGCTAATGGGAATACAGAACATGATATCCACAGCCTGCTACTTAAATTCAAAGGGTTGCTTCAGAGCATTTAAGGTTCTGAAGGGAAATAACACCCTTTTTTCTTTAGCTTTTCCATAGTAAAAAATATATTTGCTTGTTTGTTTCTCACCACAATCCCGCCCACTTTCTTAAAGGGAATGCAAACTGCATCGAATTTCTAGCTGTAATTACAACTCTGCCTCTTGCCACTCAAAAGCCTGCTTACCTGGGCTAAATAAGAAATCCCTTACAAAGCATCAGAGATGGATAAGGAAACGTAAGCAAACACAGAAACTGTGGGTCTTCAAACAAAGGAAATGTGTTTGTAACACACAGATCTGCTTTCCTAGGTGCTGCAATCATGTCAGAGAAACGCTGAAAGCACGCAGATTGCTGCCTCTTGAAACACCCGGGACTGCCGAGCATCTTTGATTTAAATCTAACAATCAGCTCCTCTGACTGCCGGGTCAAGCCAAACAAAAAAGCAAAGGCAGGCAGGGAAGTGGCTCTGCCGATGAGTGGCAGCCTCAAGGCGCGTTGCAGGAACGCCTTTCCATTCATGTTTTCACCACCCAGCATCGGTTTGCGTTTTCCAATTTGCCTGCGTGTCAGAATCCATCGTGGACGGCAGCGGCTCCACTGCACGTGGCACAGGGCACCCCACTCCGTGTGGAGAGCTCAGCAGCACACGTGGGTTTGCCAGATGTGTGCTGAGCCTCGTTAATGGAAGGGTGAGGGGGTCTGGGGTCTTTTCATTTCATTTTCTGACCTGCCTACTTCTAGCGACAGAAGTGGTGGTTGATGTAACCACCTCTCTCACATCAAAGGAAGCGCTGTCACTGACTTGGGAGATGAGATCCTTTGGGCTCAGATAAGGGAGGCTGGAATAAAAGACAGGGAAGCTTGACAGAAGAATCTCCTCGTTAACTTCTGATACATCTCCTCCTAAGTGAAACATCCCCACGTCTTCCAGGAATTCACCCTATTTAGTAGACAAATCTAGTAGATAAGAGCATCCTCTAACTATTGATGGGGATGATCAGTGATGGTTGTCGATGAGAGGAAGAAGAAAAATTTACCTTCCTACTTCATATGCTGACAAAAGGCAGCACTATCTGCCAAGGGATTAACTAAATATCATTTCAATAACGGCAGCCTCCCTTCCTCCCAGGATCCAGACAATTTCAAAAGACGTATATCTCAGTCTTCCATGTTATGTATAATCATTATGATCATCTTCCTATGGATGAACACATAAAACCGTGCAAATATTTTGTCACACTCATTTCTTTCAAACTTTTAAGAACAACTCAGTGGATTCTTTCAGGTTTCAGAGATAGAAAAATAAAAAATGTGGCAGCAAGCAAGGGCTGTGCTTTTGTACACATGCAGAGATAACTTATGTGTATATACACCCTTACACATAAAACAACTGCACACATCTCCTATTCACAAGGCTGACAACTATCCAGTGCAAATTTTTCTGAGTCTTTCCAAACAGAAAGACCATGCAGCAGAAGAAAGATTGCAAAAACAACCCACCAGGGCACCGACGTCTTGGCCTGCTCCCAACAATCAGCAACATTCAATTTCTTTTTTGGAGCCTGATCCAGCTCCCATTGAAGTCAGTGGGCATTTCACTATCAACATCAGTGGGAGCTGGCTCAGTCTGCAGTCATTTTCCTCTTGGATTGGCAAGGGATGGAAATGTTAGAGACGCCGCAGGTAGAGCTCCTAATGGGAGGAAATGACACATCACCAGCCCTTTGGCTGATCACAAAATGGGCAGCTGCTGAAAGGGCAGCAGCCACAATGCCTCACAAAAGCAAGGTGCGGTTCGTGCTCAGGAGAAAGGAACCCTTTCCACTGCAGAAAAGGTACAACTCAGAGGTGACAACTGGCTAAAAACTACCGACATTTAAACCCCTAGCAACATTTCCAATTTGCTAATACTTTAAAAACACTGCCAGCAGTTAGAAATACGTTACTATTGCAAAGAAAAGCTGTGAGGTGTAGGTGGTAGCACCTGGCAAGCTGATTTCTGTTCACATCCTCAGCAGGACAAGGCTGGTACCTCAGCACAGCACAGGCAGCACACACGAGGACACCGTCAGCAGCACCAGATGTGTGCAGGCACCCAGCAAATCCACGCACACCAAACATCATCACACTGTCATTTGCTTTCATTTCAACCGAGTCCACTCCTGTTATCTGATGGAAACGTGCCCTTGATTGAGCTAAATCTGTGGCCACCAGGGTGCCTGCTGCGATTTGCTAAGCACATGACAGCGCTCATAACGTCAACAGAGGTCTGAACCACACCACTTTCATCTGCAGTTAACTTTTATTGTCAGGGGCTTCCCTTGGGCTTTCCCTTTTTTATCATTCCAAATTGACTTTTCTTTTCTCTTTAAATAGAAGGGCAATTGTCTGCTGCCAGTGAGTGAGTGCTTACAATCCACAATGAGCAACAGAATACCCCAGGCTGTCAGTGTCAATACCGGGTTTATTACAAATACTTTTATCTTGGCTGAAGCAAATTTACATTAAAATTGGGAATTCGGCATGCACATGCCAAAAGGGCACATTCAATCATGCATGCACTCTGAATTCTTGACCTAGACCCCTTTTCAGCACCGATTCTAACACCAGTTTACCTCTATGACTACGTGTTTAGTGAAGAAGTCCATCACAGGACACTTTGGAGGGACATCCTATGAGGACATTCTCATTTCAGAAAACAGGTCTGTATTTCCTCAAGGAGATAAAGAAATGCCTTCATTCTTATCTTATTTTAAAGGGTGTTGAGTTGGAGAAAATGGCACACTTTTTTAGTGATTTATTTAATACAAGGTTAGTAATACCTGCCACAAACTCTTCCAAAGGGCATCAACAGTTCCTGAATGATTGATGCCTGTGCTAAAAAATGTATCTGTTGATTATGTTGGGCCTTAAAAGATCAACTTGAAACCCCACAAGATGAGTATGTTTATATATAAAAGGAGCCACTGAGATGACAACATAATTTACTCATGTGTCCCCAAAATGTAAAATATATACACATACATCTCGACCAAGATGTTCTTCCAACAGAATGCGTTCTCAAAAGGCTGTGAAAATTGTAGATAAAAAACCCTGAACCCTGTATTAGCTACGTCTCTTTTATTGCCCAGGCCTCGGATCACTGTTAAAAATCAACACCAGGTTGTGCAGATGAAAATGTAATTTTAGGTGCTTTAAAGGCAATGAGGCATCAGTTTATTCCACCATATTATCAAAATAGATGCTGTTTATAGGAATGTCAGATGGAACCACAGAGAGAAAAAAAAAAATCTTAATTGCTGAAGCTAAACATCAAAGGAACAAAGGATCCATCCAGAAATGCTGTTAGGCCTGTATTTTACAACTATAGCAAGACACTATCAAGCAAAGCTATCTGCTAACATACACAGAATATGACAATAGGGAGCATATACCTACTTGTAAGGCCAATTATGGAGGCAAAACTATCAGTTCCTGCTCTGTCATTCCCCAATGACTCTGAAGCACTTATCTCAAACATACAAATGATGTCCCAACCATAATCAGATCTACCTTAACAAGCAGACACTACATTAAAAAAATTTCTAAGAGACCTGTATGAGGCAGTTTATAGACCAGCCCTAGTGAATAAATACCCAAAAAACCTACCAAAATACATAGTCAGTAATGAATGCAGTAGTCAGACACGTTAGATAAATGTGATTTATATAACTGAAATAACAAAAGGAGACAAGGCAATTCTTCCTTAGCTCCATTCAGAGCTAAGGTCCATGCTCTAGCATCCCAGCTTAGTAGTCCAGGGTGGATGGTTAGGGAGAAAAGACTGTTGGCTAACTAAACTGATAAATCTTCCACCAATAAATATGAAAATCCTATTTACAAGGGGGAAACGATGGTGCTGTTTCTCCAGGCACACACATATTCGTGCACTTTCACCGACGATTTAGCCATCTGAAAAAGTACCAGCTTGTTCTGAACGAGCACTAATTGTCTGCCTTTTCCTCCCTCCCCCAGTGAATCTTTCAGAGCCGGCCTTCAGTGAGGAGAGATCTAAGGACACCTTGCTTATGATTCATCACAGGATAATAATGCCATGACAGGGACGGATGCTGACAAGGGTGATGTGACCCAAAAACCAGTCTCTGTATAGAGAAAAGCAAAATGGGGAAAAAAAAAAAAAAAAGGGCAGTGAAATGGAGCTCCACACTGTGCATTGTAAATAGAAAACACAGAGGTGGGGGATTTGGGAAGGGGAAGGGGCTGGGTGTTTTGTTCGCTGGAAATGGTCATTGTGTTTGATTGATTATGCACCCGAAACACGAAAGGACGGCACACACGGAGCGCAGCACAAGCCATCCGAGGTGGGCAGCCCCGGGAGCTGCCCTGGTCCTGGGCAGCGCCGGCAAATCCACCTCGCCCTGCCCGGCAAAACCTCAGCTGTGCCTTCAGCCGGCTGCGATCGGCAGCGAACAAAGGCCCCGCAGGCAGGAGCCGGTCCCGGAGGCAGCGCTCAGGATGGGAGCTCAGGATGAGAGCGCGGCTGCGGGCCCGGCAGCGCAGGGGGAGAGGGGGAGAGCAAAGGGAATCCGCACTTACATGGCCTCTGACGGCTCCCGGATCAGGCCACCTGTCTGTGCCTGCTGCAGGGACTGCGACCCTCCCATCCTCAGCGCGCCCGTGGGTCCAAGCTAGACACGAGCAGGGCCAGCTTCCTCCGTAATTCCACCGGCAAGGAGCCCCGGGAGCTCTGGCTGTGGAGAGGCTGCAATGCTGCAGTGCAGATGGAAACAGCTGCTTGCATCAGTGGCAGCACGAGCAGAAACACTTCAGCAGCTTCTCTTCTCTGAACTGTTGCCAGTTTTGGTGGTGGGTTGCCTTTTCTTTTTTTTTTTTTTTTTTTTTTTTCCTAGGTCCAGATGAACGGTATTTATAAACTAAAACAAAACCCCAGCCACGGTGACAGGGTAATCATCTGCTAAACATCAGTGGTCCTAACAGCTCCGGTGCAGGCGCCTGGAACACGGGACTATTGGCTATGGAAACCGGCTTGGAAAAAAAAAAAAAGAAAAAAAAAAGAAAAAAAGGGCGAAGAAGAAAAGCAGACCCTCCCTTTAAGCACACATTGTCAGCTACTGTGGCTCTCTAAGGACATGCAGGCAGGACCATTATATTGTGTTGACTCAGCTGATTTGAAATGCAAATGCACGTGTGCACTGGGTGCCCTGCATACATTTCCCTCTCATAAACAGGCAAGTTGTGCATATCAGGACGGTTGCAGAGAGGATTAATAAGCAGAACGGCTGCTTTTCTTGTTCGTTTCACAAATGAGCTCATCCCTCTTGCAAAAAAAAATGGAATCTTCCATGAGGAACGTAGGGAGAATATCATGAGCAGCCAAGGTAAACAAGCCAATGTGGGAGCCGACCAGCAGCTCCATCCAAGACATCAGGGCACTTAACCATTTTGCTCCTGCCTGCACAGACCCCCTTGCTGGACAGCGAGGTGGGGATGCTCATCATCTGATAAGGATGCGATTCATGGGGAGGATCTTTAAGCTCATAAAGTACAGCACTGCAAGCCCCACAAATAAGCTTATCCTTTTGCTTGGCACTTGGAGATGCCAGGGCACAGGGAATTCATGTGCGTGGCACACTGGAAAAGCTGCACACCACCACTCTCCACATCCCTGTCTTCAGCAAATAACAGATGCTCCACGTACAAGTTGTGTTTCACATCACCAAAGGGAGTAAAAAAAAATTAATCAGCTGCATCTCTGACTATACCAGGAATTAAACACTGGGGACAGAAATGGCTTGAAGCTATGCCACAATTCTGGATACATCACAGGGTGGAGAGGTCAAAAGGATCAGCTAAATTTAACAGAAATATTAAAACACACTAACTTTCAAACACCTCCCACAGCACGGCTTTTATGCTTTAGTGGAGGCCTCATTAGGCTCACACCTTAAGCAGTTGCTGCAGTTTTTTCTCTGCTTGCAAAAAGGGAAACCCAGTTGGGTTTGCTTGCTTGACAGGAACAACAACTGCTGAATACCTGTGCATGAATACCTCTGGCTCTCTGGGTGCACCCACAGTAAGTTGTTCTTGGTACAAGAGGAAACAAGGATGTTTAGTGAACACAGAGCATATTTCATTTCCAGAGGCTGCCTGAAATTAAATTCTGTTTCATGATCGGCCTCAAAGTAAATGATGGGGGTTTTTTTCTCTGTTTTGTTTAAACTAAGGGGGAAAGCTTGTGGGCCAGCACTTTGTTCAGCCACAAGCTTCCAAGCAAGTTATAATTTGGGGGTTGTTTTGTTTCTGGTAAAAGCCAAACCCTCATTTCTAGTGTCTCATTGCTCAACACTTATCCCAGAGAAGCAGTAGCACTGCCTCACTCAGGGACTGAGCTTCAGGATTTCGGGAGCAGGGTTGGGTCCCTGAGCCACAACTGACCCCCAAATTCTGCTGCAGCTCCCAGCTCCCTCGCCAAGGTGGCACCTTCTATATTTGCCATTCCCAAGCAAGTCAAACACAGAATGTGCAGAGAGCGTATGAAAAGTCCTGTGTGTTCTCTGGCAGTAGATTTGAAATGGTTAATAACTCCAGCATCGCTATCCAATATGGGAAATCAATGGTACCAGCCAACAGATTAAAATTACATGCCTGTATCCAGAGACCCTATTAGGCTGAAGTTACAGCTCAGCTTCAGTTTTCCGTGTGGCAGCTCTACTGAACTGGTCTTTTGAATATCATAACAGCTCCCTACTGGATTTTATTTGTTACAGAGGAAAGGAAAACACTGAGAAAAGAAAAATCCGTAGAAAGGCAAACACCATATTAAGTAAAGTCCTAGCAGGTACCTGGAAGCCAAGAGGGAGAACACAGGCACTGTTTGTCCTGACAGTGAGGAAAACAGGGATACTGTGGCATCTTCCTAACAAGTGCAGAGAAAACACTTAAAATGCCTGTGTCAAAGCCCTGAAGTTTCACATGAACATTTATTAAACAAAGGTCCAATAAAAGAAGGCTTGGATTGAATCCTATTCTGAGGCAGCACGGTCCTTTCAGGAGCTGCATAGTGGAGAAAGCTTTTTTTTTTTCCCAATCCCCAACGTTTCTATTCAACAAACCCTCAAGTCCCACTAGAAATGTGAATGGAGCACAGGTAAAACAAGAACATGGGCTGTAACACCAGAGAGACCTCGATGGATGTGCTCCCATCAGTTTAATGTCACTATTTCACTGACTGGCCAGAGGAGCTGCCTGGAGCCTTGGAAAACTGTTTGAAGGCCAAAGATGAAAGAGCTCGGTCCACTACACCCAAAAACACCTGCACAAAGAGAAGGGACATGCTCGAAAGCAGCGGCAGCTCTGACAAATGCTACAGCAACAAGATCCAGGGAGAGAAACTAAAATTAGGAAACCAAAATCAAATCGACTGGGACACAAATATTCCTAAGAGTGACTTTATATCAACACATTTAACTTTATATTTTGTTATTTTATATTTTAAAACTTCATACAACCATGGTCTCTCAAAAAAAGGTGTGCAGTGCTTCCCCCTCTCCTGCCTGGCCCCAATTCACCCTTTAGGCCTGCCAAGAAGCATCAATTTAGTACTAAATTTAGTGCTGGCTTTTAAAGATATAAGAACTGTGTTGACACTGTAAGTACATTTTGGAAGAACTTCTCTGGAACCTGAAAAACACAGAGACGTAGCTCAAAAAGAAAAACAAAAAAAATCCCACTGTAGCTTCAAAGGATTTAAGGATGCCCCAGGCATTTCAGCCTAGGGATGAACAGCCATGTAACATCTTATTGTGATCCCACTGCTGAAAAAGGCTATTTAAGTATTCACTACCATCCTTTAAAATTTATCATTTTCTCTTCCTGCCTTTTCCATCCATTTAAACAAGAGTCATGTTTTGGTCTATACAAAATTGATGTTTTGTTGAAACTGGGTGAATACTGGTTAGTTGTTTATAACACTGTACAGGCTCCTAAATATTTGGTCTTATTCCATTTCGTGTTTATGTATAAATTCAGACCTGGGTCACTTGCACCCAATTTTGAAATTTTTGGCTTCCACCAAAAAACAGTGCTGGGCAGGACCATGACAAGTTTTATGATATACTGAAATTTATGTTCTGTTTCTTTGCTCTCGATTTCACTGTCCACTGTGCCAGGCATTTACTCTAGTTGTAAATGCTGGTTGTCTGGCCACGCATGCACACACACAGAAACATCAAAGAGCCCACTGAAAGGAAAGCCTTCCTCACACATCCATCCCCGTGGGAAGGAGTGGGTGAATATTAAGCCATACCTCCGAGCTGCAATGCATTATTGAGGTACTGAGCAGAAACGAGCACCATATAAAGCAAACTGCAGAGACAGAGCAGAACAAAACATCCCAAACAAAAAGGGGGGGGTCTCTGATATCTGAAAGCTGCTGCCAAAGCTCAGAGGAACAGCGCTGTCTACACAGAAACAAACAAACAGAAGACGGGAAAATGTTTAAAGAAATAGATTATTGTTTAAACATAGTTCTCCTCTCAATAATATATATATTTATAAACTACTGCCTTTACAGAGATGGTCACGAGCAGACTGTTTTCAGCCACGTGGGCACTCCACCTTTGGAGTTCATCTTTCTAAAGGTTGTACAGGAAGCAGTTTACAGGCTTTTAAAGAATTCAATATTCTTCATCATAGGCTGCACAAAAATACACAGGTCTAGACATCCTGTTCATATTTCTGTGCTTCTTTGCTCACCATGCATTTTTTTTTTCCAGTCCCGGGACAGCAAGGATTTCCTTTTTCTTCGTTTTTATCCTGCAAAATTTTTTGCTCCTGGAGGCAGATTTTTTGCTCCTTGGCCTTACCTCCCTCTCTAAAGTGAGCAAGAGAGGATGGGTCTTTTAATTTCCACTTGCCTTGAGGAGTCACTTAAAATTCCTCCTCAAACAGCAACCTAAACAAACACTATCTCCTGAAGGGCCAAACAAATCGTCAGAGAAAGGAGTGACCTCTTGCAAGAGCAGCGGAAGAAAAGTAGATTGCTTTCTTTCTCTGCCTTAGTTTTATGAGTAACTTTGTACTACAGGTGAAAGATCAAGTAGGAAAAGTCACTTGAAACATGCAACAATGTTGTCCCATTTTGGTTTCACTGGCAAAAACCAGTGAAAGGTTAACATCAATTGTAACATCTATGCTTTAGTGTGGCTAATAAATAGTCATGTACAGTTTGTGTCCACAGTATAATTAAGATATTATTATATAGTCTATAATTAGCCATTTAAAGATACATTAATCACCATTCTTCTAAAATTGAGTTATCCTTAATTTGATCCCATTCCAGTACAGATAAATCAGAAATTCAGGCCTACTGGGAGAATGATAGATCATGAGGTTGAAACCACAGGTTTGTTGGTTTAGTGGGTTTTTTGGTAGCTGTGGGGTTTGGGAGGGTTTTTGGGGAGGTTTTTTGCAGCATTTATTTTTTAGTGGGCTCAAAGCGGGGCACTGATTCACAACTGGAGAGCGTAAATGAAATCTGAGCAGTAAAATAATTAGGGAGTGTTAGTTAAATCACTGGGATATTTTTCAATGTACTTTGCAGGAAAAATAGAAGCAATTTGTTCAACTGCCTCTGTACATCACTTGGCATAACCCAGCCCTATCTGTGTCACCATGATCTAAAATAACACACCACAAAATAACACAAGGAGATAGTAGGTATAAAGCTTCACAGATTTAACTTATTCTTCCAGATCGAACACTTTGATGAACACATTGTCTGCTCCTCCACTTATCTAATTACCACAGTGTGAGTGCTTTATTTGCATTGATACACTCTCCATGAAAACACACAATGTCTCAGAATTTCAAGCCTGAGCACACTGACAGAATTCCCATCTGCTAATTCCAAGAGAAAAAGGAGTGACCAGTGATGATGCAACCAGGGTGGACAAGAAATAAACTTTAGGAGGGGTTTCAAATAAAAGTAAATACAAAACTAAATAAAATCAAATGAAACAAAACATAATTGTGCCCCTCTTCCCATTGATCACTGTCGGGTTGCTAAGGTCGCTGCCTAATCTAAATTGCAAGTGA